GTGCAGCACTTCTTTTGCATCATGAAGAAGGCTTACAAGTAATAGGTATGATTACAAAACTAGGGGTTGTAATGATCTCTTTGAAAACCAGACTAGAAGGGGTCTGAAGTTTTCAAAGCTTGCTTAACAGAGAAGAGGAGGCTGCCTTATATAGGGAAAGGGGCTTCGGACTTCAACTGAGTCTTCAAATTATTTAAAAGTCTTTCATTACTTTCGGCTACTTTTGGCTGGAAAGTAAGATAAGATTCTTTTACTTGGGTAAAAGGAAGGCAGAGTGGACTAGGGTCCTGACTGTCCGAAGAATCTCTGCTTTCGGTGGAAAGTAGTCAATCTGAAGGGACTAGAGGGCCCTACTTGTCAGAGGCATCTTACTTTTGGTGGAAAAGCAAATTTGTGGGTCCTGCTTCTGTCTGTGAGAATCCTGCTTTTAGGAAAGGGGATCCTATGCAGACTGGTGATATTATGTTTACACAGAGTGGTCAGCTTTTCTTTCTTTATTGAAGAAAGTAGTGATTGAAGCCACTTTATGTAAATAATAATTCACGGGAGTGCAAGGTCAGGTGTGAGGTCATCAACATCAAAGTCTTCAATTCCTTCAAAAGGATTCTGAGCATACCTGCTGGGAGTTCTGAGGAGGAACTTTGAGAAGATGATTCACTATCTGAGTCAAGCTGTTCAAGGAGCTTCTGGAGGAGCTTTGCCTTGGACTTTTTCTTGCTAGACTTTTTCAGAGAACCTTTAGATGAAGATTCTTCTGGTTGGACTTGCTTTGTAGGAAGGTTAGCCTGGCTTGAATGAGCGGGCAGTTCCTTCATCGGAGTTGCTAGTGGTAAGGGGCCTGGAACTACTACTGGAGTTGGTACCCTTACTGGGAAGTCTCGTCTCACCATTGCGATAGTGTCGCTATGCTGAAACCTGGGCCACCATTTGGCATAGAATTGTCGGGTTAAGTTGAATCCAACAATTTCCCAATGCCATTTGAGTATCCACGGGACTTTGTACCTGCATAAAAATATTAGTAATAAAGGTAATGGGGACTCCTGTTTACTAGGACGGTAAAGGGAGTAAAAGATATTAATCTGATCTTTAAGATCAGCTGGAAAGATTTCATCAATGGGGCCATGTAGATGCCACCACTGTGCAAACCATGCAGGAATATGGCTTCTGAAATCTTTATGGAAATTAAGGAACCAGGAATGGGACAAATCCTCATTCTGGTAGAGTAATATTTTGGACCATGACTCAATGTAGTCATAGTAATTAAACTGCCTACTGTGATAGGGAAGTTCTCTGAGTAAAGAAGGGTGAGAACCCCATTCATCAATAGAAATAATCTTGGTAATATACAGGCTATGATAGATAACCTTAGTTGGGTTTATCTTATCATAAATGGGCTTGGTAAATATGAATTTGGTATAGTAGAGAATATCTTGGTAAAAACTATGGGTTTTTCCAAGTCTACTGGGATATAGGTCCAACCTGTTGGGAGGTAGGCCTGTACAAGGTCTATTGGATCCTTGTATTTGGAATGGGCTAGTTCAATGGCTAGGACATTCTCAGAATAGGCTTTGACATAGTCAACCTTTGGGCCTAATGGGGCTGCAAAGGGTGGTGTGGCCTGATAAGGGTTTGTCATGGCACTAGTGGTCCTGACAGGTTGCTGTTGGGCCATTTGGGTAAAGGTTTTTGGGTTAACAGTGGTTGATATAGCTACTGGTCGGGTAACCAGGGCCGATTGGGTACTAGTTGAGTCCATTCTGGCTATTTCATTGGCCATTATCTGACTCAACTTAAGTTGGGTTTGGGCTACTGGCTTTGTGGGCTGAGTAGTTGGTAATAAAAATCTGTTTGACAAAACTAATGGTAAGTCAGGTTCAGATTTTGGTATTATTTTATCCTTTCCCTTCCCCCTGGAATTTTTGGAGGAGTTTCCGGATGTACTAGGTTTCCTGTCCGCCATGAGGTTCCTGCAAAAATTCTCTGGTAAGGAAATCAGGAATATAGTTATGTTCTCCTTTGATATATTCTATATCAAAATCGAAAATACTTAAAATAGATTGCCAACGAGCAAAAATCTGCTTAGCAGCTATATTTTTGACATCTTTGGTTAATACATCCTTGGCTGATTTACAGTCAACCCGCACAAGGAACTTCTGATTCAATATATCATCCTGGAATTTAGAGATACACAGGACAATAGATAAGATCTCTTTTTTAATAGTGGAATAATTCTTTTGGGTCTTATTCCAAATACCAGAATGGAACCGAACAATCTGTTCAGGAGAATTAGGAGATTCTCTCTGAAGGAGGATTCCACCATAACCAATATCGGAGGCATCAGTCTGGATGATTTTGAAAGAATCAACGGACGGAATACCAAGACAGGGAAGAGTTTTGATGAACTTCTTAACCTGCTGAATAATAGAAGTATGGACAGTGGTCCAAGGAGGAGGATTTCCTTTGAGCCTGTCATACAGAGGTTTGATGGTTTGCCTAAGATCCTGATAGAAGTCAGAAACATAGTTTAGGGAACCTAAAAACCTTTGGAGCTGGGTTTTATCCAGAATTTCATCTGGGAATTTATCTGCAAATTGGATGGCTCTACTTATAGGAGTGAAAGTAGAATCCTGGATATTGTATCCTAAAAATCTTACTGAGGTTTGGAATAACTTAATCTTAGATGCAGATAAGACTAATCCATTTTGTTTAACAATTGTATGAAAAGCATAAAGGTGCTTCCAGTGTTCTTCTATTGTTCTGGAGAAGATGAGTATATCATCTATATAGACAATAGAAAAATGACTGATACAATTGAATACTTCATTCATTATGTTCTGGAATTCACTTGGGGCATTTTTCAACCCAAAGGGCATGACATTCCATTCATAATGTCCGAAGGGAGTAGTAAAAGCAGTTTTATACCTGTCCATAGGGTGGATCTGTATTTGCCAAAAACCACTTTTCAAATCAAATTTGAAAAGATAGTGGACTTATTGAGTCTTTTTATCAAATCCTGTTTGTTAGGTATAGGGTACCTAATCCATTCTAAGACCTTGTTTAAAGGTTTGTAATTAATGACTAACCTTGGGACTCCTCTTTCTAATTCAGCGTTTTTGATGACATAGAAAGCAGGGCAAGACCAAGGTGACTTACTATTCCTAATGATACCATTTATATATATATATATATATTATATTATATATATATATATAATAGAGCGGAAGCAGAAAGCAGCAAAATGAATGGGAAATTGAAATGTAAAATAAACAATAACAATAATAATTACACACAAGTATATTTACAATACTTACTGGACTAGCACTAGATGGGCTAGCCTACTAAGATTGATACAAGTGTGGGGAATAGTAGCATCTCATACTTGGAGCTTACAATCAGCACAGTATCTGTTTGTAAACGAGGAAAATAAAATGAGTGAATTCTGGAGAGAAAATTCTTGTCCTTCTTCTTCTGTCTGATCTCCTTATATAGAGAGTGGGAGGAGTGAGGTCTTCATTGCAATGATCAAGGCTTTTGCAAAGTAAGCAGACAAAGGAAAGGGTAAAGGACAAAAGTCTCTGCTTTCGGTGATAAAGTAGAAGTGAATTGCTTTTACTAAGGGAAAAGCAATCCTGATGGTCAAAAGGCTATCACTAGGGGGGACAGCCACAGGATATAGCCATGTGATGGCCTTATCGTTACATGTGATGGGCAGCTTTTCTGTCCTATTGGGGAGACAGTAGTGATTGAAGCCATCACAAGTAAAGAAAAGAATCACGGGCTAGCTAAATCTGCAGCATCTAGGTCATCATACCCTTCATACGGATCTTGGGCAAATGGGCTCATGGGTGGAGCTACTGATCCGGAAGATGATGCTGGGGATGATCCAGAGTTGCTTGCAGCTTGGGCTTGCTGGATTAGTTCCTGGGCCATTGCAAGCAATTGGGCCGCTGTTGGAGCTTGCTTTGTAGAGTCCTTAGAGGAGGATCTCTTGGTTTTGACTTGGTCGAACTCTCAGCAACAATCTGTTCTTTTTTAACAGGAGGTGATGCTGAGACCTTGAGTGTTGGCATGGGATTTTTTGAAGGAGTAACGGGAGGCAAGGGTTTTGGAGCCACTTGTGGGGCTGGAACCTTGACTGGATAATCCTTCTGAATGGCGTCGAGAATAGTCTGATATTGGTACCTTGGCCACCATTTCACAGAATATTGTCTGCAAATATGATGATCAATAATTCTCCATTGCCACCTGCAAATCCAAGATATTCTGTACCTGCAGAAAAAGGTTAGTAAAATAGGAATGGGGAATGCGGACTGCTGTTTACTAGGAGTAAATGCAGAGGAGAAGATAAGGAATTGATCATGAAGATCACTGGGAAGAATTTCAATGACGGGGCCATGAACCTGCCACCACCTTACAAACCAGGAGGGAATCTGGCTTTTGAAATTCTTATCAAATTGAATGAACCAGGAGTGATCTTGAGAAGCACTCTGGTAGAGGATAAGTTTAGTCCATGACTCAATGTAGTCATAATAACTAAACTTAATATTATGTCCAGGAAGTTCTCGGAGGGTAGAAGGGTGAGAACCCCAATCTTTAATGGACATAATGTTCTTAATAAATAGGGAATGGTAGATAGCTACACTAGGGTCCTTTTTATCAGGAATTCCTTTGATAAAAATAGACTGGGTGAAGAAAAGGATATCTTGGTGAAATACAAAAGTTTTTTCAGGATGGGAAGGAACAAAGGTCCATCCTTCTCCAAGATAGGCATTGACCAAATCCAATGTATTGGTTAAATGGGCATGGATTGGTTCAATAGCAAATATGTTTATGACTGGGTTTTTGTTGGTATAATCTGTCGATGGGCCTTTGGGTAGTGGGCCTGATCGATAGAATGGATCAACAAGAAGGCTGGTTGTTGGTGGCACTTGCTGGGCCATTTGGGAAAAGGTCTTTGGGTTTACTAGAGTAGGCTGAATGGGTCGGCTTAATGGGCCAACTGGTCTACCAAGAGGTGTAAACCTGTTAGCAATGGTCAAGGCACTAGAATGGCCAGGAGCATTAGCTGAAGCATAGGCAGAATAGGTCGGCTTAGGTAGTAATGCCAAAGAAGGTGGGTCTTCTTCCTTCTTTACTGAGGCAATTGCTTGGGCCAACATTTGGTTAAGTGTATCCTTGCCTGTTCCCCCCTGTTTTTTGGAGGAGGACGAGGGTTTAGTAGTTTTTTTGTCCGCCATTGGGTTCCTGCAGAAATTCACGAGTTAGGAAATCAGGGATGCAGTTATTACTGCCCTTAATATATTCTATGTCAAAATCAAAAATACTTAAAATGGATTGCCATCTGGCAAAAATTTGTTTACTAGCAATATTTTGGACATCTTTTTGTAAAACATCTTTTGCAGATTTGCAATCAACTCTGATGAGAAATTTCTGATTTAATATATCATCCTGGAATTTTGAGACACACAGGATAATAGATAAGAGTTCTTTTTTAATGGTAGAATAATTTATTTGAGTTTTGTTCCAAATACCAGAATGGAAACGAACAATTTGTTCAGGAGAATTAGGAGATTCTTTCTGAAGCAAAATACCACCATAACCAATGTTAGAGGCATCAGTTTGGATGATCTTGAAAGAATTGATGGAGGGAATTCCAAGGCAAGGCAAGGTTTTGATGTATTTTTTGACTTGCTGGACAATAGAAGTATGTTCAGGTGTCCAAGGAGTAGGATTGTTTTTGAGTCGAGAATAGAGAGGTTGGACAGTTTGCCTAAGATTCTGATAGAAGTCAGAAACATAGTTAAGGGAACCTAAGAACCTCTGCAATTGGGTTTTGTCAAGGATTTCATCTGGGAATTTTTCAGCAAATAGAATGGCTCTACTAATGGGAACTATGGTAGACTGCTGAATTGTATCCTAAAAATTTAATAGTGGTTTGAATAACTTAATTTTGCTAGCTGAGATGACTAAACCATTATGTTTGGCAGTCCCTATAAAAGCATGAAGGTGTTTCCAATGTTCATCTATTGTTTTACTAAAGATAAGAATATCATCAATGTAGACAATAGAGCAATGGGATAAAGAATAGAGAGGTTGGACAGTTTGCCTAAGATTCTGATAGAAGTCAGAAACATAGTTAAGGGAACCTAAGAACCTCTGCAATTGGGTTTTGTCAAGGATTTCATCTGGGAATTTTTCAGCAAATAGAATGGCTCTACTAATGGGAACTATGGTAGACTGCTGAATATTGTATCCTAAAAATCTAATATTGGTTTGGAATAACTTAATTTTGCTAGCTGAGATGACTAAACCATTATGTTTGGCAGTCCCTATAAAAGCATGAAGGTGTTTCCAATGTTCATCTATTGTTTTACTAAAGATAAGAATATCATCAATGTAGACAATAGAGCAATGGGATAAATTAGATAATATATCATTCATAATATTTTGAAATTCGCTTGGTGCATTTTTAAGACCAAAAGGAACAACATTCCACTCATAGTGCCCAAATGGTGTGGTAAAGGCAGTTTTATATCTGTCTTTCTCAGCAATTTGTATTTGCCAGAAACCAGATTTCAAGTCGAATTTTGAAAATATCATGGCATTTTTTAATCTTTTGATTAGGTCTTGCTTATTGGGGATGGGATATCGGATCCATTCCAAAACAGCATTCAAAGGTTTGTAATTGATTACAAGCCTAGGAGTTCCTCTTTCTAATTCTGCATTTTTTACAACATAGAAAGCAGGACAAGACCAAGGAGATTTAGATTTCCTAATGATATTATTTTTAAGAAGTTCAGAAATTTCTTTTTTACAAATTTCCATGACTTCATGGTTCATTTGGATTGGCCTAGATTTAGTAGGGATCTGTTTTTCATTAAATGTTTTAACATAAGGAAGTTCGACTGTATGTTTTTTCCTATGCCAGAAGGCTGTAGGAAGCATAGAGCAAACTTCATTTTCAAGTCTTTCTTTGAACTGATTAATCTTCTCATTTAAGATTGGACATTTTAGTTGTTCTAAAAGTCTTTTATGATCAATTTCTTGTTTAAGAAAATTTATCTGGCTAATTTTTCTAAGGTACTTGGAAACAGATTCATCTTTAAGTTGCCTGAGTTCTTTTACTTCAGGTTTGAGTAAGAAATTAAAATTAACCTGTTGATTAAGAGGTCGGGTGACTAAGCCTTCATTAGTTATCTGAAACGGGGTCAGAAGATAAATAAAGGGTAATCCTAAAATCACTTCATCAGTCATATCTTTTACTAAGACAAATGAGGTTTTAAAACAAACATTGTCATGGCAGATATGAGCTTTAGGTAATTTATATTTGACATCCATGTTTGTACCATTAGCTGATTTTAATTTTTGAATGGTTTTTTCATAGTACTTGGTTGGGATAAGTCCTTCTTGCATGCAGTTTACATCTGCACCTGTATCAATAAGGGCTACTGTATTAATAATAAAATCATTTGCTATAATGATTTTGATTTGGAAATACCATTTTTGTAATTTAATTTCTTTGATAGAGTTAATTTGATTTTCTGTTTGTAGACACCCATCGTGAGATGGCAGCTTCGTTAAACCAGAGTTTTCCACATTGAAGGTGGAGGCTACGGGTATCCGCTGGGAAAGTGTCTTAGTTGAATTATCAGTTTTTTCACTGTCAGATTGGTAATTATCTTGAGGTTCTTGCTCAAGAGTGTCGGATAAAAGACTTAATTTTTCTGCCAAGAGTTTGTCTTGTGCCTTTAAATCTTTTATTTCAACTTTTAATTTATTAATTTCACTATAAAGATCTTGTAAGGTTAATTCTTTTTTCTTTTCCTTACTAAATCTTTCCATAGTTTTGTTAATACTAATTAAAGGTTTTTCTATTATAAGATGTTTGTTTTTTTCTGTTTTGACAAACAGATCCTTAAGATTTTTTATATATTTAGATTTTAATTGCGGTTCTTCAATTTTACTGATTAAGTCAATTAAAATTTGTTCTTCAGTTTGTTCTGTGATTACTCTTACTTTTTTACAACAATTGTCATTACATCCTAATTTAATATCAGGTTCGCTTGTCGTAGAAGGTGTAGAAGAGTCAAGGGAATTATCAGAATTGTCTGAGTCTGAGTCTTCCGGATTATGAAGTCTGAAGATTTTTAGGATTTCTTCAGTCTCTTCATTGGTTAGATTAAGTTTTTTAACCTCTTTTTTAATTGGGCAATCGGGACTTTTGTGACCCTTTTTCCCACAGTTATAACATGTTATAGTGTCTTTATTGGTATTTAACCATTTAGACATTTTCCCTGTTTTCTTAGGTTTTGGTTTAATAGTCTTTTTGGATTTTTTATAAAATTTAGGTTTAGTGAGTAAATCTTTATTATTCTTATAATAAGATTTATTTTTTGAATATGACTTATGTTTTTTATGGGATTTGTGCTTAAGTTTTTTAGAGGTTGATGGTGCTACTGGAGGGAGACCATATTGTTCACAAAAATTCCCCATTTCATATTTGGCTTTCTTTTTATCGTTTTGTAATTGTTTACTGATCTTAAGATCAATACACATCCTAAGTCCTTCCTTTTGGATAGTACTAACAAGTTGGCCATAAGTCAGTGAATCATATTCTATGATCCCAGTGTCTTTGCTAAGGGCTTCTCTGATTTTATGGGCAAATAGATTAGGTAAACCATTAACAAATTTTTCTTTCCAGAATGATTTATTACAGTCTGGGCGAAGCATAACTCTATTGATAAAAACATCTTTATACCACCTAAAGTCACTAAGTGTTGGGCACCTGAGGTTACTAAGCTGGTCATGAATCCTAGCTTCAATATTACTTGGTGTGCCAACAAAATGTTTGACAATGGTGAATATTAAAGTGTTTAAACCATCTGGTTTTGATCTGCCAAGTCTCTCATCAAAAATTGGAATGCCATCATCATCAAGAACAACAGCATTTCTAATATCATCCCTAGAATCTGGAGTAAGGTAATTGTCCCACCAACTCCTCAGTACTCCAGTAAATCCTGAGGTAACTAAGTCGACAATTTGGGGTTCAGGATCATTAAGGTTATTTACATAACTATTAATGACCATAGACATGTGATGAATTTTGTTGAGAATTTCTTGCTCACTTAATCCATCTATGTTCCATTCATAGAGCTTGTTTGATTGAACTGAAAATTGGTTAGAAATATTTTTCTCTTCAAATTGAATATCTGGGGGAGTGGGTTTGGAGTACCAATTTTTTGTAGAACTAGAAGGGAAAACCAGCTTATTGATTTTAGAAATAGGTGCACTTATACTTATGTCAGTGAACTGTTTTTCTAAGCTTTTAATATCTTCCTCAGATGAAGATATGGAAGTCTCAGTTTCAGTTTCAGAATTTTTGTTAATTACAGTTACTTGAGAAGTTTGTGATGTTTCGGCTTGTGCATCTAATTTTTTAATTAACTGATCAATCTTTGCAATCCTAAGTTGATCTGGTATTCCTAATTTAGTCCTATCTTCTGGTAGGGTTACTAGAGGTTTTTCTAATTTCTTTGGGGAAATAGGTATTTTTTCAATTTTGTTTTCAATCTTATCTAATTGTTGGCCTAAAACAATTAAGCTTTGATTAGTAAAATTGTTTTGTTCAATTACTCTCTTCTGAAATTTGTCTAAAGCCACTTGTTCTGTTGATGCCTTAGTATTTTCAGGAGGAGGGATCTTAAATGGTGAAGCCACGATTTTTTGTCAGCAAAATCAAATGTAAAAGTTTGGGTTGGAGGATGACTAGAAGAGACAATTCCTGAATCCGTAGTTTTCCATTTATGTTTTGTAATTACTTTTACATCTTTGTGACAAGAGTCAAGGTAATCAAAAAATTCAATTTCAGATTCAATTTTGTGCATTGTTTTAATCCATTGAACTTGAATTTCTTTTCTTTGTTGTCCATTATATTTTTTAAAGAATTCTTTATTTCTAAGTTTATTCTTAACCATCCTACTTTTTAATTTAGCTATGTCTGGTAGAAATAAAGTACTAGGTTTTGTATTTATGACATAGAGTTGATGACTTAAATCTGGATTAGGCTTAAGACTTTCTAGATCAGAAGCAGTGGGTGATGGAGTAAAATCATCTTCCCTATCCCTTTCTTCTTCTTCCTTAAACCTAGAATATGTATTAACTAAAGGAGGTTTGTGAGTATAATGAGGTC